TAGGGATAATAAACCTGGAAGAAGTTGGTACGACTCATTTTTAAAGAGGCATGAGGAAATCGCAGTGAGAATGTCAGAAAATGTTTCCTTAAATAGAGCTAAGGTATCCGAGCACAGTTTACAAAACTGGTTTCAAGATGTTTCAAACTATTTGAGAGAACAAAATCTATTATCAATAGAAGCTAATAGAATCTTCAGTAGTGATGAAATAGGTCTGGCTTTAAGTCCTAAACCTCCTGCTGTGCATGAACCGAAAGGATGCACAAATGTTTACAACATTGTCGATAATAATGAGAAAGAAAACATCACTGTTTTGGTTACAAGTAATGCTGCTGGTGATCTTGCTCCAACCTTTGTTCTCTTCAATGGAAAATCTTTGCCAAATAATGCTGCAGAAATGACTCCCTCCAATTTTGCATTTGGATTTTCAGACAGTGGCTGTATGCATGCTAAAAACTTTTATGAATTCATTACAAATGTTTTTGAACCTTGGTTGACTGAAAAAAGAATAAAGCGTCCAATAATTTTATACATTAATAGTAATTTGTCTCATATGACATTACATTTGAGCAAATTTTGTTCAGAGAATGAAATTGTGCTTATTGCATTACATCCAAATGCTACACATATATTGCAACCTCTAAAAGTAGCTTTGTTTAAAACATTAAAATTACAATGGCAAAGAACTTATAAATTACACTGCAAAGATTCTTTAAGCATTGGTATACGTAAATATTTATTTGCTCCACTGTTAAACAAGACTCTCAATTGCATTAATATTAAAACCATTATGCAAAACGGATTTAAAAAATGTGGACTATATCCTTTTGACGTTGAAGCCATAGATTTTAGTAAGCTTTTTACTCGAATGGAAATAAATTGTTCGTCTCATACACCAGAAAATAGATCTGAAAATATGCCTAATAATATAAATTCTTTAAAAGTGTTAGAAAGCCTATTAACTATACACCAGTTGCAATCATTTAGATTAAATACCAGTACTATTTGGAAGGGGATGCCAAGAGATGAAAGCCTTTTCAAAATCTGGTACAAATTATCACATCCAGATAAAAATAAGAGTGGTTGATACCGATTCGCAGTTGGTTAATAAGCTGGTAGAGTTTGATGATGCAATTGTTTCTGAAAAATTAACAATAAATGTGTACTCTAAAGACAACTTCGAAAATACCAGTATGCCTATCAAAAATTATCCTACAATTTTTTAAATTAGTCTGGTATTATATTTTTAGTTGTTAGGTACTGTATACTAATTTATTCTGTGATAATTGCAATTGCAATTTTAACATAGAATAAGATGACTGGTGTAGATGAATTTTATATCAAAGGATATAGATAATGCAAATGGACATGAATAATAAGCTGCAACATTTTGTAATCCGCACATCGTCAATTTAGTGGTAAAGATTCAGATAAGCACTTAATAGTAACAAGCACTGACAAACCTCTGAAAGATATTACTATAAACGAAGATAATACTGTAGCTAGAGATAAATCTTCAAATGTGAGTGTGAGTATTAATTATAAAACTATTTCAATTGGTGAATTTTTTACTTATGCCTAATAGCATAAAAATTAGGATTCAATTAATTTTTCAATCATGCGCAGGTTACAGAAGTCTTTAATACTGTGGCGGCTACCTCCAGACTCGCCAGTTCGTATACATATCAGTATACAAATTTCCTCTGTTTTTCTGACATCCCATTGGCTGTAAGCTAGTGGAAGCAATGCGGAGAGCGAAGCGCTGCGACGGTAGTTTGGAGGTGGGTGCATTCCAAGTACTGACATTTTAATGACTAGTTATTAAAAATAAATTTTTCAGAATATTACAAATACTTCTGAAACATCAGTAAAATCCGTAAAAGATTCTTTATTTTGACCTGATAACAACCTCTTAAACACAAATTACAAAGCCTAAAATAAAATCCCCCCTGGTTGTATCTGGTGACTAACGAATAATTCAAATGATGGAGGAAGAAAAAAATAAGAAAGCCAAAGAGGTAGTATTGAAAAAACAAATAAAAATTAAAAAGAAAGAAAAATAAAAAGTTCAGAAACAAGAATAACGTCTGAAACGGATAGAACAGTGAGTTATAAGGGAGCAAGCAAGAATAAGAAAAGAGAAAGATAAATTTTTAAGAGAGCAGATGTAGATCGACAAGGAGATTGAAAGACTTACACAAAGCAAAAAGAAAAAATGATAGAATTGGAGCAGAAGAATAAAATCGTAGAAAATGTATTATTAAAAAAAGGAACAAGAAGAAAGAAATAACAAAATTGAATATTTTTAGAACAGGTAAGTAGTATTGGAAAAAACAATTAATCAAAATAATTTTATTTAAATTGTTATAAGGTAACAGTTACCAAATTCATATTTTTATGTTAAAATGATGAAAAAGTATCTATTGCATATAATGTTATGTGTATGAATATAAATATAAATATAAATATATTTTTGTATTGTTATATAATGTATTTTTACGTATTACACCTACCTAATATATTTTTACTGAGTAATACAGTAGGTAGATTAAATTACTATATTATTCATTTGCACTAATTCTACTGTCCGACACGATTTTTTATTTTCTAGAGCCACTATGAAATTCTTGTAGAGCTTCGCTCCCCGATCAAAGATCCGAAAACCGAATTGCTCCATCACCCTCAATTTTCGAAAAAAAACGAGCTTTTGTAAAAACCCAAAATTTTCAACAAAAATGAGGTATTGCATGAAAAGTAAAAACGTTAGAAAGTTCTAATCGGTCTCAAAAGATAGAGGAGAGTTTCTCGAATATAGTGGCATGCAATTTGTTAATTGTTTTTGGTCCTAAATAGCAATAAAATAATGTCAAAGTTTAAAAAATTGTCGACGTGCGCAGTTTCTGCGCAATATTTTTGTACTTTTACGAAAAGTTGTTTGTTCTGCACAAAAGCTCTATCCAGGATCGGATTCTGTAGACATTTTTGAAAAAGAAACGGCTCTGTAAAAGTGTCGGAACGATATACATTTCGAGTAGATCGAGAATATGTTCGACGACAACATGTACACGACGTTTTGCCGCCATATCCTTCGCTGCTCGCTTCTCTCTGTCCGACAGGGCCGAAGCTATACGTAATCAACCCCCATGGAGGGATTCAGTGGGGCACCCACTTAGCGTGTGGGGCGTGCCACTTCGAATTTTTGTTAGTACTTCAATATGCTGTCTTCTTTTATATATTTCCGTGGATAATAATTACCAAACTGTGAATCATAAATTAAAAAGTACGAAAAACATTGTTTTAGGAATACATGCCGTTCCTACATGCCTTAAAATGGCTTAAATAGTGTTATTAGTAACACTATTTTCTAAACTCACGAGTATGTAAAATAACAATTCATTATTATTAATTTTCTATGCATACATATACTGATTTCCGGAAACACGGTAGAAGATTAACCCTTTCGCTACTACGGGCCACTATAGTGGCCCTCCATAAGATGTCACTGAGGTACTACGGGCCACTATAGTGGCCTTTCGTATGATGCCACTGAGGTACTACGGGCCACTATGTATAGTGGCCTTTCATAAGATGCCACTGAGGTACTATGGGTCACTGTAGTGGCCTTCCATAAGATGCATTATATTGCATAATGTTATTTCCTCTCATACTGTAAATTAAAGAGCGCATGCTAAGACGTTATAAATACCCTGGAATACCCTTTATTTATAAATACCCTTTGGAGAGAAATTTTTTCATACGAAAACATTCAAGCAGCTTGGGTTCTCCGCCGCGGTACTCCCGCTGACGCCCGTAGCGAAAGGGTTAAACAATATATTAGTAATTGTTTGAAATGTATTGAATTTTCGCCAATTAGTGGTAAACAGGAGGGGTTTTTGCATAGCTTACCTAAGGGTAATCTACCATTTCATTCTACCATTTCTCCCTGGAGAAATTGGGAAAAGGTTTTAGATACAGTTTGGTGGTAGTGCATGAGTTTACCAAATTCGTTAGACTGTATGCTTGTAAATCGACGAAATCTGAAGAAGTGATTCGAAATTTGATAGACTACTTTAGAGCGTATAGTAAACCAAAACAGCTGTTTTAAATTTATTCAAGGAGTTTTAGTATAGTTAACCAAAACGGTTATTTTATATTTATTCAAGGAGCTTTTTTAGCAAGTAATGAGACAGAGCAGATATTAATCGCAGAAGGTATTGCACGAGCGAATGGTCAGGTTAATGTCGTTAACAACACTGTTTGTCGGTCAACTGGAAAGTACCCGCCCCAATTATTGTTTGGTATAAATCAAAAAGGAACGGTATCGGATAATTTGCGTTAAGTGTATTAAATAATAACACAAGAAACTTATCGATTAAACGTCGGGAAGTGGCTGAGAAAATTTTAAAAACTCGGCAAGAGAATGAACGCGTGGGTAGGTGATTATGTAGTGATTCTCAACACGGATACCATATCAGGCATAAATAAAAAACTGTTACCTAAATTTAAGGACCCGTATAAAATTAAAAAGATGTTAGACAGGGACACATTATTGCGTTCTTTACACGGGAGTGTAAGTTGGCCCAGACCAAATGAAACATTAGGTCAGGTAGGTGACGAAAAACTGAAACGGTACCGCGTAGTGAATAAGTTGAGTTTGTGTGTGTTTGTATGCATGATTGTTTGCATTGCGTGTTTTTTTTATTATTATTTTCTATTCACGTTTTATATGTTTTGTATAATGCGAATCGTAATTTCTTTTTTTGAAGCGGAAAATTGGGATTCTTTGGTGAACCGAGGACGATCAGGATTGGCCGAACTGTAGAATGCGTTGCGTCGAGTCAACTGTGAGATGCGAACGATGAGGAGGTTATTTTATACATTGCGATGTTTGTTCGTTTATATAAAGGCAATCCGATGTTGTAAACAGTTCACACTGAGCCTTTAGCAAATAAACATATTATAACTTTGTTCCATATTATAACTTCGTATCCACTCTAGACAATCTTTGTAACCTGTTGATTACTTCTTCGTCCATAAAACCAATTCTCTTTACATTTTTTTACAGCTTTATCAGCTTTATCATAATTTACCATAATTCCCCCTAATTGACGCTCAGATTGTGCACAAAAATGAGCAATTAAGAAAGAGGAAGTACGATTATTCGAGCCTTGCAACTCGTTCTTATAATTGTTGGCAACCGATAATTATAAAAACGAACCGCAAGGATCGAATAATCGTATTTCTTCTTCCCAAATTTTCCATTTTCGTATGCAACCTCAGCATCAATTAGGGAGAATTTACTGTAGTCAGATTTCAAATCGAAAGAATAGATAACGCGACGCACCGGGACTCTCGTTCACTAGAGATAGGCGAAGCTCCGAAAAATTCAAGGTGAGACGAAACGAGAATTTCATTTGCGATCGAGACGAGGTCTCGAAAGTTCTTTGTTCAGAAAAATATCGAGAATCTCGTAACTATAGAGAATCTCGGACGTATGGGTTTTTTCACAAATACATCAAGCATCCCGGTCCCGAATAGATTGAGATTCTCAAAAATCTTAAGAACTTGAATAAAACAGAAAACAAATTTTATTTGTTTATAAACAAATCGAAACCAACTTTACTTGTTTATAAACAAATCGAAACAAATTATAAACAAATAAATAAAATAGACAAATGAACAAGTAAACAAATAAACACGTAAACGAGTAAGCGAATAAGCAAATAAACAAAGAATATTAAATTCAGTAAAATCAAAACATTACAATCACTTTATATTTGATTTCATAAAGAAATTTTTAGTATGTTTACAAGAATTTGCCTTTCTATATAATGAATTTAACATTAAAATTTGTCAGAGTATTGTTTCATAATCATTCACTTGGAATTTGAATGTTTATTGTATTTTTTAGAATATAAATATTGTGTAAGCAAGAAATTACGCAGAAAAAATGGCCTTTTATTGCAATAAATTGTATAACTTAATTTCGATTCATAAGTGAATAAAAAATGATCACAGAATAACTTATAACACGAAATAGCAGAGTTTTACTCTATTTTTATTAAATTTATTTATTCCATAAAAAATTATAGCTGGAAAAGCTTCAGAGGAGTCAGAAATTATATAAATAAATGGTATCAGTTACTGGTAACTGGGACATGCTACAGTCTTGAAATAAATTTAAGTATTTAATTACAGCCCCTGGAAGATTTTACGATTCTGCTAAAGCTTTGTAAATTGTAGTATGATGTACCTAACCTTTACAATGTAGAAATTTATAATCTACTTACTCGGATCATTCAAGACACTTGGCTTGATCACTACGAAATGCTCGAAATAGATATAGGTATATTCAACCTATTCGTTTTTTTCCGAGCCGTTCGGTTTCGTTCGAACTGTTCGATTTCCTTCGAATTCTAGTAAATTCTCTACAATAGTCCCTCAACTTATAAACAAAAATCGACAATTTTGGAAGAGGAAATACGATTTGACGAAAGTTGTTGACTATAAAAACGAGCCTCAAGGCTCGATTAATCGTATCTCCTCTTCCCAAATTGTCCATTTGTGTTTCCAAACTGTGGGACAATTGGAGGGAATTCTTTATTAAATTACAAATACAATTTCATGATCCATCTCCAAAAGGATAGTAGTTTATTGGATGTCTTGCCGCAACTGCATCATCGTTAAATCTTTCTGGATGAAAGATTTCTGGATTTGGATAAATGCTGGAATCCTGATGAAGCGTGTATATCGGAACAAATATTCCTATATCTTTAGGAATTGTTACTTTGGTATTAGTGAAGGTGTACTCCCTGTTGCATTTTCTCTTCAACAAAGTTCCTGGTGGATACTTTCTTATTGTTTCTGTCGACAAGAAGAATATGTGACTTAAAATTATCACACGCAATTTCGTCACAGTCGATAAAATATGGAAGACTGTAAAAACTCCGTTACCAGAACGCAAGAGTTAAATACATGTACAAGTTAGAACTGTTACTTATATGAGATAATTTATATTTTGTGATAAATAATAAAATACCGAAATAATTGATTATAACTTATCAATATTTTCAAGTAGTAGACTTTCTACAACTCATACACGGTCCACGACAAAAAGATGGCGCACTTTAAAAGTAAGAGATCTTTATTTATTTAATATTACAATCGAGATTTTGTTTTTATAGGAACTTACAAACATCTCTATAAATATACACAAATGAAATAGAATTACATTCCGGCAGACCAAACAATTTAATTTGAAAAAAAAAG